CACTGTGAAAGAGTCTAGAAAGACGGTGCGACAACGAGAGCGCAGGGCCGAAAAGCGCGACAAAGAAGAAAACGGGTAGGGTTTGAAATGTCTACTTTCTGGTGATACTAATTCTGTATATCTTGACACAACCTTTTTGAATATAGAATTGTATTGAAGCGCACATTAATCTGAACAAAACTTGAAGTTTTTAAGAAGATTCCACGAATTTTAAAACTTCTGCAATTACTTAAAGGAGCATTGCGCACATTTATCGCGTAAATCTTTGCATTTTGTCGGTAAAATGAACAATTACAATGTTACGCCGTGATGTACAGTATCTGACGTCGTATCATAACTGTGTAAATCAAAGCTATTTTAGGAGAAAACATTCCACTGAATTCAAATATACCATTTAAAAGAAGGTAATGTAAGTCATTAGAGGTCTAATATGCAAGTCTCTTAAAATCTCACGAAAAACGAGATTTAGCGAGATTTCAAAAGCTATATGGAAACTATACTATTGAACAAGAAAAATGTAATCACTCGAGTGTAACCTCCCCTCTTTGCATGGAGGCCAATGATTCTGGTATCAGGGGAGCTATCAACAATTGGCATAACTAATTTCTTTCCCTGTCGGTAAAGATAATTATACATCACGCCATCAGAACACTTTTCCTGCTCTTTATATACGACAAAAATGAATGTCGGGCTAACCTACACTCCCCTCCATAGAATGAATGTCGGGCTAACCTACACTCCCCTCCATAGAATGAATGTCGGGCTAACCTACACTCCCCTCCATAGAATGAATGTCGGGCTGACCTACACTCCCCTCCATAAATTTGGCAACCGGAAGTGTTTTTGTCGATAGCATATCAACCCCTGTCAATCTTTGGACCTTAATGTTTTGCTAAATTACAAAAGCTCTGGAATTTATGGCATATTTGATGATTTCCTTATTCGCCAATCATAAACAGTCCTTGGTAAGTGATCCAAAAAAGACTTTTGGTTTAGAAACTTATGGATCGAAGTTTATGATCCAAATCACTGATTGGAGCAACCTAGAGGTACACTTATACTTGATGTCAATTTAAGTAATCTCTCCAAGCAATTTCTCTTCAATTCGTTCATTTTGCACTGCACATACAGAAATATTCCACTCAACCTTTTTATTCTTTGATGCGGTTATTTCAAGGCACGGTGACTTCTCCAGGTCTTTAATATATTCATATGTGGCATTTAGTTGAAGATCAAAATAGTTTCTACTTGCTAATTTGTATTCGGAATGACTCCACCGATAATTAAAATGAGAGAAATAAATCTAAACCATCTATCCAAACTTGCTCTTTGCTTTTAGATCGTTGAAATCTCAGGAAGTATTAAGGAATAGTAATTATGGGAATATCCTGCGCGTTCAAGACCCTGAAAGTGTTAATTGATGTTATGCCTTGATTTATACATTTCCATCTATTTCCGCCATGCGAATCTAAATATCGGTGAACGTCTCTTTGAATATATACGTACCCATGACCCAAAAAGTTTCAAAAACATCTAATGAAGTTGGCAAACCCAGACAACTTTAGACAACTTTGTGAAATTTTAGGCAATGAGGCTGGATCCATAAGGCTGAATCGTTCATCTTCCCAACTGTGTATTTACACCTTGGGGAAACTTGCGTCATTTATTTTACCTTGAAGAACCATTCTAATTTCCATAGGTATTACGTCATAGTGACTTGTTCTGACACGAGACTAAGGGTTTTCTTATACACTTTTGAACCATTGAGTTATTTAGAAACATGTGATCGTTTTGTTGATTTAGAGCAATCAGATGAAGGTGCATGTAATGTCCTATGATGTTGTGGTTGTGGATTGTGATGATGGCTCGCGAAAGGTTGTTGGGAATAATAGATACTGTTACGCGGTAAACACGATACAAATATATGTCATATTCCGCAACGAATATGGCATATTCACTTTCGGTGTATGACAGATTCTGCTGCGGTATATGGCATACTCACCAACCAATGAGAACGTGATACGGAAGTACGTAATTGTCAATTCCATCGATTGAACAAATGGGTAAAAGTTTATAAAATATTGAAATGATTACCGAATCATCAGTACAGTGCATTGAATATATCAACTAATGCAGGAATTACTCAGCAATCACACGTGGTAAACTTACTCAATAAATCCGAGATTCATATATTACTACCCGAAGCACTAACTTTATCCAGCGTACTTTTACATTTAGAGTTGATTCTGCCAACCAATCAAATTTAGGCTTTCTGTATCACATTTTCACCTGCGGTATATGTCATACTCTGAACTCACCCCCGGTATATGGCATATTCCGCAGGTGAGTATCGGATATTCACTGACATTAATGTATCGCACTGTGGAAGATCCCATACTCACCTGCGGAATATGCCATATAACGCAGGTGAGTATGGCATATTCATCCGTATCACAAATACCGCGCAACCATGAATATATGCCATATTCCGCGTAACAGATACTGTTTCCTTCTGCGTTAAATAATAGTTAGGATATAGGGGTTTTGTTTCCCATATGAGTTAATTTTTTCATAACTGTGTTTTGTAATATTTTTTTGTTCTGTCTCCTTTTGGCATGTGTGCTAGCTACGTATTCACATTGATGAATTATTTTGAAAGTGAATCATATCTCTTAGTAGAAAATTTGTTGCCGAAATATTCTTTCAAGAGAGGGGTCAAACTGACATTTAGAATGACCCAACAGGGATATAATATAAATTGAAAGTCAATAATCCAATTCATCTGAATAGACAATAATGAATTGACTTATTGAGCAAACTATGATCTGCTCTCTTATCTTTGACATTTAACGCCCATTCCAGTAAAATGAGCTGGTTGGATAGTTGTTAATTGTTTTATCAAACGGATTCACTATCGATATATTAAACCTTCGTGCCTCGAATTTGAAAACCCGGATCGTTTGAACGTTACGATGACTTTGAGACTTTAAAAGAGCAACGTCTTCATACTGCTTTAAATGCAAAACCCTTTACAGTCAGAGCCAGTAGTTCAATGCCAGAAACGACTACTCAGTCTTAGTTTGCATCTTAGATTTCCAAGGTATGATGTGTTCATGATTGAAAATCAAAATGGGAAACGAGTATGCTTAGTTTGAGCTGACGTTGAACTCTATGCAAACCCCTACAAACTCGGGGCGTCGATGTTAACTCGGGCCAACCTCGCATGTTTTTCTACTGATTGTTAACTAGGGGCAACCTTGCATGCTTGTCTACTGATTGTTAACTCGGGGCAACCTCGCATGCTTTTCTACTGATTGTTAACTCGGGGCAACCTCGCATGTTTTTCTACTGATTGTTAACTAGGGGCAACCTTGCATGGTTGTCTACTGATTGTTAACTCGGGGCAACCTCGCATGCTTTTCTACTGATTGTTAACTAGGGGCAACCTTGCATGCTTGTCTACTTATTGTTAACTCGGGGCAAGCTCGCATGCTTTTCTACTGATTGTTAACTCGGGGCAACCTCGCATGCTTTTATACTGATTGTTAACTCGGGGCAATCTCGCATGCTTTTCTACTGATTGTTAACTCGGGGCAACCTCGCATGCTTTTATACTGATTGTTAACTCCGGCCAACCTCGCATGCTTTTTTACTGATTGTTAACTCGGGGCAACCTCGCATGCTTGTCTACTGATTGTTAACTCGGGGCAACCTCGCATGCTTTTATACTGATTGTTACCTCGGGGCAACCTCGCATGCTTTTCTACCGATTGTTAACTCGGGCAACCTCGCATGCTTTTATACTGATTGTTAACTCCGGCCAACCTCGCATGCTTTTTTACTGATTGTTAACTCGGGGCAACCTCGCATGCTTGTCTACTGATTGTTAACTCGGGGCAACCTCGCATGCTTTTATACTGATTGTTACCTCGGGGCAACCTCGCATGCTTTTCTACCGATTGTTAACTCGGGCAACCTCGCATGCTTTTATACTGATTGTTAACTCCGGCCAACCTCGCATGCTTTTATACTGATTGTTAACTCGGGGCAACCTCGCATGCTTGTCTACTGATTGTTAACTCGGGGCAACCTCGCATGATTTTCTACTGATTGTTAACTCGGAGCAACCTCGCATGCTTTTCTACTGATTGTTAACTCGGGGCAACCTCGCATGCTTTTCTACTGATTGTTAACTCGGGGCAACCTCGCATGCTTTTCTACTGATTGTTAACTCGGGGCAACCTCGCATGCTTTTCTACTGATTGTTACCTCGGGGCAACCTCACATGCTTTTCTACTGATTGTTAACTCGGGGTAACCTCGCATGCTTTTCTACTGATTGTTAACTCGGGGCAACCTCGCATGCTTTTCTACTGATTGTTAACTCGGGGCATCCTCGCATGCTTTCTTACTGATTGATAACTCGGCGAAAGCGGTGAAAAAGTGCATTTTGTTTCCTGATTTCACTCTGTCCGTTGACATCGTCCTCCACATTGGTTTGCTCTTTGAATATCAAGTACACAGATGTACTATATAGATGCTTGCAATGTCTTTCACAACCTAAATATGAACGGAGTATATTTACGCGTTTGTTTGGGCGATCGGTCATGCGTATAGGTACAAATTGTTCGCGGCAGTGGAACTCAATTCATGAGTGGAGAAATAAGTTCGGGAGAGAGAAATTGGTGGTTCGCTAGAGAATCGATATCCGTGTTGTGCGAACGCGGTTTTGGTGGAAGGAACGTGGTCAGCGTGGTCGGTCGGAACTGACGATCGCGTGAGTCGAAGTCTATGAGGCCTGACTGTGATCTGTCTAGATACCAAGCTCACATTATTTTCATATTTGCGCTCATCTCATGACAATATTAAGTTAAATGGAATTTAATTGTAAAATCATTGAAGGTAAATATAGAGTATTTTAACACTGCTAGCCAATGCGTTCCACGTAAGCAAACTAATAACTTAAGACTGCAAGCAAATCTCGCTCGCTTCAAAGGTACGCACTGTCAGCACCCCTACTGTTATTATCATAGCAGAACGTTTTTGCAACTTATTGGAAATTACTTTTACGAGCTATTAACTATAACGTTAGATTGTTAAGGATGCTAGGATCAAACTGACTATAAAGCTTTCGGAGGATCACAATATCCAGATGGCTAAGCGTGATATGAATGTAAATCTACCAGGCTTAAGCTAACAGAACAAAACCGGGCCGTCACAAAGGTAAAATTCTGATGGATGGGGGATTATCTCGTTTCAACATCGCGCAAGCATTAATGGTATAGTTAGATAAGAATGTAAACAATGTTTAACAGCATCTGTAACTCGTAAGTAACACATTGAAGCTTTGTGATACTAGTAGGAAACTTGCAAAAATAATTCGTAAAATGAACGAGAAGGCAAGTTTTACATTTTGTTATTGGGCAGAATAATTTTGAAGAAATAAACTGGATGAATACGCTATATGAGAATGTAGAACTTGTTGGAGCTGAAGGACCTCTCTGAAGGACAGTGGCACGAAGATATATTAGAAAAAGGACAGCACGCACAACTTCTACAATAACTATGTGCCTTTTAGATAAAGACTGTCGGAGATTGCTGTTGGAATGCTCAGCGTGTGTCTCCTTTGGGGCATGTGTTGTATTGGTTGTCATGGTGATAGGATTCGCACCTCCCTATCTCCGAGGAAGCAGTTTCGTGGAGACCGTTTGTGTTGTGATTTCAACAACAATGCACCATGGTATGCCTTGTAAATGCGGACGATGGTACGAAATGGACAGGGTACCGTGTATACAAATTATCGTAACATACCATAGGCACGACACGGGGCTTGTACATAATGTAACTCTGCATAAGGAATACACTGAGAGGGGCTGTTCAGTGTCAGTTCAGGTAAAAAACGCATTTTTACGACCAGGAAAATAAATTGAAATTAAAAAGAATATCAATAATAACATCGATAAACTTCTTCCGAAATCCATGACAGCGATCAGTAGATTTGCCATCATTCCGTTTTATTTCTTTCTAAATGCTTTTGCAGTCAGCTCATTTTGAAGTATTGCACACTCATTTACCGATGTTACGCCGGGTTTTAGTATTTCTTTAGGTAGATATAGAATTTCTAAGAGAGATGGAGTATGTTCCAAGGACTAAAATAAAAACATCAAATATTTTAATGAGCCTCAGTGGTCCCAGGAAGCTGACATGTACATGGTACAAATTATGATCAAGGCATTTATGAATTAAACCATCCAGATTTACGATTCAGTTTATTCGTGTTCTGTATGAAGAATTCTCTATCGGTAAATAGTGAACTATCAAAACAAACATTAAATGTATTTAAAATAGCACATATTTTGTTGAAATGCAGCACATATTTTGGTGTTTTATCACAGCCATTTGCCTATCTCTATCTTCTTGTCCTTACATGCCCAGCAATAGAAACCTGTTGTAAATGTTGCACATTTGTTCAAGCTTATTACTTGGATAATTTTCTCTCATTTGACCTAGTCTCGTCTTCGTTATATACAGAACCAACCCCTGGGTTCAAGTTAATATTTCATTTGGCTTGTTGGCGATAAATTGTAAAAGTAGATTCGTCAGGTTTGAGCTCTATAATAAAATAAATACATGGCAAGTAATATATTAGATCCTCTAGTATATATTTTTACTCTTACAAAATAATATAATGATGAGTTACAAGGGGTTTGACAATCAATCTGTTAAGTAGTCCGAAAAGATAACTACCATTAACAATATTTCACGTCCTTCAATATCTAGATTTAAAGTGGATATATAGCCAGTCTATGATTAGATAATAGTTTATGGAAACAATATTTTCATTTGATTTTGCAATGAAGCCATTTGTATGTAAGTCGATATCCTTAAAAATCTAGATAGCCGGTTTATGATTAGATAATGGTTTATGGAAACAATATATTCATTTGAATTTGCTATTTTCAGAAGGATAATTGGTAATGAGACCATTTGCATGTTAGTCAATATCTGAAAAAATATTATTCGCCCATTTCTTTGTTTTTTGTAAAAGCTTCATGACATCATGGCATGTAACGCTTCACCAAGTACGTTTTCAGTGATATTTTGCTTGTTAATATTTAAAAATATCGTAGTTATCGCAGCTTCGCTTTCTGAGAAATCTGTTTCCCTGGTATATTTATTTAATTGATTTATGTAAACGTTGTATTGTTTGAATCTTGGATATTTTATATGATATATGTACTGTTAAAGAAATAGTTTGTTGAAATATTTTATGTATTGAAATTGCTTAACAGACTATTAACTAGTGATTTCTCTTAGAGCCACTCATATCAAAGGATCACACTGGGGTCTGCCATTTCGAATTTAAGATTTGATAAATCTGCTATGATTTATGTAAAGTTGGATTCAGTCCTACTGGAGTCTTTTGTAAAACTACGCCATTAAGTTCCAAATACATTCTGTCTTATGTTTTCTAAAGTATGATATCTATGATGCTTTTTCCAATACCCACGAGTAGCCTGAGTGGGCGGGCATATTTAACTGAAAGTAGGTCAATGTGGCATTGTCAATTAATCATCTCAACTATCACAGAACCACATTTTGCATTTAAATGAGCCGAGATATAAGAAAGGAGGGTACACAAGTTGTAAAAGTTGTTGCAGCATAGATGTATTTGTACATAGATTTCCTTTACGCTGGCTTCATTACGTTCATTTGTAAACTCATTCGTATATTATAATAAAACGTCAGTAGAATTATGGCATTAGTCAAAATCTTTTTGTTTTTATGGGAATGTATTATAGAGCGAACTTATAATGACTGTAACGCACTGGTTTCAACTCTGATCGAGTATTTTAAAACAGATGAATTCTTTGTTCTTTACGCAACTGAATGATATTTAATGGTAACGTTAGGTCAGAATCTTTGGTATCTTTGTCCGATTCGATTTCTTTGAAAAATCCAAAGGGTTCACTTACTGGGCAAATATGTTAAAAGAGATCATGATTTGGTGACACAGTTTGCACGGGAGATTATTAACAAATAACTTTGTAACTATTTTTATACTGGAGATTGGTCATAAGAAGAGCCAATGCAATTGGGGTTATGGTCAGTATACGAGTCCAATATCTTTTAAGTGGTAATAACTATAGATATAACGTCCTGATAGTACATTCGTAAACCATCGATTAGGAATTGATATTGTCCATTCGATGGAATGATGATCCAAAACAGCATCTTAAAAGGATCTGAACAAATTATTAGATTTTGGACTTATGTATTTGTAATAAAATTCCATCCAAGTGTTAAGACACCATAAACTAATTTAAGGGCAAACCAAAGTATCATCTATTTTGAGACATCGTTTTATAATGATTCAGAAATTCCATCCGAATCATAAGATACAGTGCACTAATTCACGGCATATCCATTGTCTAGTATACATTCAACATAAAATGACATTAAAGTTTGACCTGCATAATTATGGATTATTTCGGAATTTCGTGGACAGTTTTAAACTTCCGTGGAAGTATTTGGAAAACTCGTGATACAATCGAAAATTTAAATCTTAGGATTAGAAATCAGAACTCTACGAATTGGCTTTGCAAGTGTTAAAGTTATGAAGAAGAAATGTAAGTCAGTTTTGGCCAAATCTGGATATCATCTCAAGATCGAGATCACTATATTATCTTGATATACTGATAATTGCTGAAGGATATCGGATATTTCTCAGTTTGAAGTTGATAACTTGAATATATTTTGAATCCCTCCACTTTGAAGATTGTGTACTGACCTGAATGACATCACCAAAAAGTGTGTGGGGATTCCTCCACTGTTTTTCTTTGAAAGGTCAGGCCTAATTCTTAATATCGATCACATGACCTATGCATGGGGAATCCATATAATTTGATGAAGGAGCATATTTCTTCTTTCGATATCGTAGGTAAGGTCTTGTACACAATGAAGATTTGTTAAACCCTTGTTATTGTACTCCATAGTCCACGAGGTGTTTGTATTTCAACTTAGTAATTTATTTAACATTTTTACATCTTTTACATGGCTTAAAGCTCAATTGTGGAGTTTAGTTGCAAGCAAATTTACAGCATATGATTAATCACCCCACATTTACAGACTGTGTCTCTGGAGTGCAACAAGTCTGAGTCAATGTGACATTTTCTATATAGTTCATAATATTTTAGTCCATTCTCATTGAAAAGTAGATCTTGAATTCCAATTGCAAGAATTTGATTTTTTAAAGATTAACAACACATTCTTTCCTCATTTGTGCATTTTTGGGTATTTTAAACATATATCTTAATTCAAACAAAATAGTAAATACAAAATAGTATTTGTATTTAGCATTACTGGATTTATGCATACAGTAAATCTGTGCATATTAAACATTTTGCCGAGAACGTTCAGTGTTGATAGGTGTTCACTACAGAGGACATTTTATACCGGCAGAAGTCAGTAAGACTAAAAAAGCAACAACTGGAAAAAGGTATCACAAACTGTCGTTCTGTCGTCCTGGGTCTCATTATGTGAAAATTTTCAATTTTGGATAGTACCCGTGATTTATATTGTATCCAGTGAATCGAGATAAGTTTACGATGACCTCCTCTTGATTCCTAAGATTATAATGTTTTCACATTTCTTTGAAACGCGCAAGAAAGAATAAAAAGAGAAAACTAGTAAATTACCATAATGTCACTTCACCATCTGAAATCAGTATTCAAAACATGACATTCACGGTGCCATATTTCTTATTCCTCAATGCATATTTAGCAATGTCACAACTTGGAGATAATGCATTTAATGTACTCTTGAAAAATAACTTTCGTCTTCACACATTTCACTTACAGCCCACAGTAAAACGGTTATAGAAATGCTACAATTTAGGTATTTGAACAGAACAAAAACCTTGAGCAAAACAATTTTGTATGATGGGTTTAAAAAACGAGCATAGCGAAACTCGCAAAACGAACCGTTTACAGACTTAGGCTATGAGTTCGCTAATATGAGATTTACAAGACCTATAAGACAGTACAATTAATTTGCAAGAATAAAAGAGCAATAACATTTTCCGAGTATGTAAGGCGAAGTTTATTAATGACAAAGGAGAGTTATTTAGTAACAGATTAGTAAAACAGATCTTTCAATGGTATGGATTATACGCCCTTCAAGTATGGAATGTCATCGAGACAAAGGTGATTGTTCAAGCCATGGCCAAAACAATCTAACATTTAATTATCTTTGAATGATGAGAATGTATCTTCCTATGGTACAAAATCAACCGTGTGCTAGAGTCACTGACTCACGTCATCAAGTTTGATTTGAATAGTTAGTTACTTGGTGATAATGAAGTCTACGAAGTCTCCGAAGAGGATGTCATTACTTCTTAGTGACAAAATGCAATTATCCTAGATATCCTGCTGAACCCATATAACTGAATCATTTGTGTGGGTTCAACAACCCATACTCTAGAGTACAATGATATGTGCATCCTATTACATGGTTTTCTGCCTTTGGTGAAGAATTTCCTACTAGAACTAGAAATATTAATATTCCACGTGTGGACAGAAGGAAACACATGCTTTGTGTTCTCTTTTTGATGTTAGGTTAATATAAAATAGAGTAAAACATTGAATAATTCCGATAAAGTTCTTGAGCTTCAGTGTTACATCGAGATGAAGAATACATTTACAAATGCTAGTTATAATTTAATTTTAGATTCTCATTTGAATATATTGTAAGAGAGTCATTTGCTATGTATTGACTGGTGTCCCGAAAATTGTACCCGCAAAAAGCAAATTTTCAAATTCTTATAGGGATAAAGTATAGTCAATCACGTAATTGAGAAGATTTCATTTTCCATGAATATAAAAAAATATACA